ACACACACACACACACACACACAGGTGATCATCACACAGAAACACACAGGTGAGCAGGTGAGCTCTGATCTTGTCTGTGTTACCGTCCACAGCCATCCTCTCTCGGAGCTCCTGCTGCAGGCGACTCTGCCGGTCCTCCAGCTCCAGCTCTCGGGCGCTGAAACACAGCCAGAACCATCACACCCCAGGAATCTGCCCAGGTGAGAGGTCAAAGGTCACATACTCACAAGATCATGAGCTCAGCTTCATATCGGACCAGAGCATTCTTCTGCTGGACCAGCTGGAACCACTGCTGCATCAGCGGCGGATTATCCAGTTTCCCGAGCCCTACACAGAAAACCGGGTTCAGCGCCGCATAATACCTGCTGTATATGTACTCCACAGGTAACCGGATATGTGAACTGACCTCCCAGGTGAAGCTCCATGTCTGCGCTTTGGCTGGATTCTCCCCAGTAATCTAACAGAAACACAAGCACAGGTGGATTAAAGTAGAAGCACACCTGAGTTCAGGTAGAACCAAGTAAGTTCAGGTATTCCTTTGGCCTGTATTTTCAGTACCTGCTTCTCCCCTCAGAGCTTTCTCCACCATCACTCCTCTCTCCTCCAGCTGCCTCTGTTTCTCTTCCACCTGCTGCAGCTGCCTCTGGATCATCTAAGACACAGAACGCATCATCAGGTAATCTCACCTGAACTCAGGTAACCTCACCTGGACACAGGTAACCTCACCTGGGCCTTGTGGAGTCTTTTCAGTTCTTCCTGTTTGGCCTGTCTCCTTGCGGCTCTCTGAACCCGTCTCGTGATTCTGGTGTCCAGGTCATCGTCGTCATCCTCACGCTCCCTCTGGAACATGGTTTCCTTCAGGCTCAAACTGGATGCCTCCTTCGGCTGGACCACGACCCCCACCACCTCCGTGGGGCAGGAAGACTGGCCGTCAGAGTCCTGTAGCGGGACTCTGTCTTTTAGGGGGCGTCTCTGAAACAGCAGTGCGTAAGCATCAGGACAGGAAGTGAAACTGCTGGACCACCACAACCCTCAGAGGATCAGGTGTGTGTACCTTGATGGCGTATGATCGTTTGAAAGCCAGAGCGTGAGGAACGTATGGCGGCTGATTGCAGGAAGAAGAAACACGGAGGACAGAAAACAGTCAAACTGATAGACGAGACGTGAATCTACGTCTATTTAAGTCTCGGGTAGTTTCAACAAGTCGGTATGTCGGTCGAGTTTAAAGTCAGTCTGGTCATTGTGTGTCAGGTGATACCTCCTGGTTCTCCTCCTCCTCGATGGCAACCCTCTGAATTTCATTGGTCAGGTCAAGCAACTCCAAACGCAGCTGCAAAAGAAGACTTCAGGTGAGAGACCCAGTCTAGGTGTTAGTCTGACCCCTATCCTTATCCCTTAGTGAGTCTGGGTATGATTTAGGTCTCAGATTGGTTGGAATAATGCTGAACTCTGATTGGTCGGAGTGCTTACGTTGTTTTGGGGCTTCAGGGAACATCTCTGCAACACGGTGGATGAATCAAGATCTGACACCTCTGCTCTCACATCTGGACAAAGAAGGTACAGGTATTACATCATCACAGTGACCTCACACTGACTAAAGGTGTTGTTATTATGGTCACCTGTGAATCTCTGACTGGCTGTTTTCTCCTTCGCCCTCTCTGCAGGTAAAGTCCCACCCCCCTTCCTCTTCTGCTCATTCTTGTTTCCAGAAAACACAGTCTTTAATAGATTTCTGGCTCCAACCCCTCCCAGCTCCATCTCCCCAGGGGGAGGAGCCTCTCTGAGCATCTTAAAGAGGAGAGCCCTGCCCCCAGGCTGCAAGGGGGGGAAGAGGAGTCTAGGGGGGAGGCTATGAGCTTCTCGCCGTCTCTTCGTCCTCCTCTTCCTCCTAAATGTCCCTGGGTCCTCCTCTGACCCCTCCCCTTTCTCTTGCAGGAGGAGGGGCCTATTTTGCGGCAGTTCAGGTGTGATGTTGTCAAATGAGCCCCGCCCACTGGCAGCAGGTGTCTCCATGACAATGGCAGGTTTGAGTGGCGCTCTGGCTCCATCCTCAATGTGAGGGGAGTCAGGTGTGGTGGTGAAGGAGGCTGTGCTGGCAGTGGTGGCGACAGGGTGTGGAGTCACAGATGAGTTCATGGAAGAGGTGGAGTCAGGCTGAACAGGTGTGTCAGAGCTGTAAGGAGCAAGCTCCGCCTCTGAAGGGAGGAGATAGTGTATGAAATAATGTGTACAGTGGGGCAAAAAAGTATTTAG